TCTCTATCCACGGATTGTTGATTCCTCTGGATTTGGTGAATGGAGGTTGCTACGAGCAGCACCGAATTCAGGATCCAAACGGATCGGGATCCGTCGTCGAACAATAACGGATCTTGCGCTGTTGCTTCGTCTACCGCTTCCGCTGTGTTCAGAAAGATCGAATTTCACCCTGCAAGGAAACCCTTCAATGGTTTCTCTAATGGGCGTTCCGATTTTAAGATCGAGACTTTGAATCCCTGCTCCGGTAACAATCGAGTGTTATCTGCTCCGTCCGTTAAGAAACCCGACGGCTCCGATTTGAAGGAACATGGGTTCGATCCCGAGCTTACTTTCAGCATTACCTTCCGCAAAATCGTGAGTGCTTAGCCTAAAAATGCTTCCTTTTTATCTGTACTTGTCAGAATTCTTATTGGTTTTGTTGATATGTGAACGGTGTTTGTGATTTTGTAGGGTGCGGGTTTGCAGAATCTCGGGAATACATGTTTTCTTAACTCGGTATTGCAATGTTTGACATACACTGAGCCTTTAGCTGCTACTCTTCAAACCGCTGCACATCAGAAATATTGTAAGTTGCTTTAGATGCTTGAAATGTTAAATTTTGTTGATTGTTGATCAGCCAGAGCACTTATGTCTGCTGTTTTTAGATTAATGTGTGGGTGTGGTAGTGTTGTTTGCAATGTCTGATTCAGTGTTCATCTGAATTCGTTTGTGTAGGTCATGTTGCTGGATTCTGTGCTTTATGTGCGATCCAGAAACATGTCAGGACTGCCCGTCAAGCTACTGGCAGAATATTAGCACCAAAGGATTTGGTCTCAAACTTGCGATGTATGCATCTCAGACCTTTCTGGCTTACACTATTGTGTGCCAACTTTGGCTTATTAATCAGACTAATGAGGATTCTCATCTGATTGGGTAGGCATATCCCGAAACTTCAGAAATTGCCGGCAGGAGGATGCACATGAGTACATGATCAATTTGCTTGAATGCATGCACAAGTGTAGTCTGCCCTCTGGTGTACCAAGTGAATCCTCTGATGCTTACAGGAGAAGTTTGGTCCACAATATTTTTGGTGGTAGCCTTAGAAGTCAGGTAAATTTTCTTTGGTTCAGGAAGTCTTACTTACATCCTTGACATGCTCTAATATTTTCCTTTTCAATTCAGGTGAAATGCGAGCAATGTTCCCATTGCTCCAACAAGTTTGATCCATTTCTTGACCTAAGTCTAGACATTTCGAAGGCAGATTCATTGCAGAGAGCACTTTCACGTTTTACTGCTGTTGAGCTCTTAGATGATGGTTCAAAGGTTTACCAATGTGAAAGATGCAAGCAGAAAGTTAAGGCTAGAAAACAGCTAACTGTTTCTAAAGCACCTTATGTTCTTACTATACATCTTAAGCGGTTTGAAGCACACAGATCCGAAAAAATCGACAGGAAAGTCGACTTTGCCTCTGCAATTGACATGAAACCTTTTGTCAGTGGTCCCCATGTAAGTGGGCTTCTTCTTGTTCTCTATATTTCATGGATTTGACCTGTTCTTATAGTTGTTTAGATGATTGTGTTCATGTATTTTTTTAATCTTTAAGCTTCATGGTTCTCTTTATAACAAATTCAATACTTGTGTTGAACAGGAAGGTAATTTGAAGTACACCCTATATGGTGTGTTAGTTCATTATGGTCGAAGCAGCCATTCTGGTCACTATGCATGCTTTGTTCGCACATCAAGTGGCATGTGGTATTCCCTTGACGACAATAGGGTAAGTAGCAGCGTTCTACTTTTCTGGACTGCAAAAACTTTGGTTTGATACTGTAGTTTTTCTTTACATAAGTCTGTGTTGAGGTGGCAAATTGTTAATTTGTTGTTGTAGGTTCTCCAAGTTAGTGAGAAGACTGTCTTCAATCAGAAGGCATATATGCTATTCTATGTCCGTGATAGACGAAATGCGGTCCCTAAGAATTCAGTCCCAGTGGTTAAGAAAGAGACTTCGAAAGAAAGCTTTGCCACAAACAGAGCTTCTTTGATCGTATCTTCTAACATAAAAGATCAAGTGAATGGCTCAACAGTCACCAAAGAATGTGGGTTTGACGCTCTTGTTGCCAATGGTTTAGCACCTTTGAAATCATGTGATCCAAGTGCTCCTGCTGTCTTAACTCAGAAAGATTTAAATGCCAAAGAGACTCAGAACAATCTCATAAGTAGTGTGGAGGCAAAAGAGATCCTTAAGATGGAAAATGGTTCAACACCCGTAAAAACTTGTGATCTAGCTGCTCCTACTGTATTAGTTCAGAAAGACTTAAATACCAAAGAGACCTTGCAAAAGGAAGTGCCACTTCCGCAGGCTAATGGGGAAGGATATTTGGTAAAGGAGGATTCAAAGGCTGCATGCCCAACATTACCAGGGAAGGTGTCACCTCTCTTGGATGGAAGCACAAATGCTCAGATACTTTTAAAATTGCCTGCCTCTGGAGCTAAAGCTGAAAATAGTGTTGAAGAGAAGGATTCTGTTAACAATTTGAACGAGCCTGCTAATTCACTGAAGGTAAGTTTACAATTATACTATCACTTGTGAGCATCTTGTCTTATGGCGCTACTCTAACTTGCATGACGCTATAACATCTTTATTAAAGGGATACTCTAACTTGCATGACGCTACTGGTACAGGTGAAAAACGTGTCAATTGGTAATTCACCTATTGAAGAAGCTGTTCTTATTAATCAAACTATGGGACATCACCCGGAAGAATCGGCCACTTCAATTAAGCCGTTGAAGTCAACTTCCGAGAGGGAGACTCGCACCACACCAAGAAAGATTCGCAAGCGTAAAATGAAAACTCTGAAGGTGGAGTTTAAGTTTTTTAAGCTGGCCCTGGGCTTACGAAAAAAGAATGTACAGAAAAGGGAAAGATTAAGTAGTACCCTAGCTGTCAAGATTATCTCTGAGGAGCTCCTTTCCAAGAAAAGCTCTACAGATCAAGAGCATTCCACTTCACAGATAACTAACGAAGTTGCTTCTGGCTCTGCTTGCTTGCATGGAAAAGATACAAGTATCAGTGCCCAGAGTGATCAAAATGGTGCTGTTGCGTCAGACCAACAGCAACCCGCTGGAAATTCTGACTTGTCTGAAGCAAGCCAAATTGCCAAAAGAAAGAGAGAGTCCTCAATTTTGTTACAGAAAGAAGCTGTGAATATTCTCACACGGGGTGTGCCAGAGACAGTGGGTAAGTTATCTCTTTTCTCAACTTATTACTTTGACCATGTTAATTACTACTGATAATGAACTTCCATTCATTGGCCATTATCAAACACTGGTGATAAAATTTTTGTAACTGGCAGCAATCAAACTTCCATTCCTTAGAGCAAGGGCTTATTACATGTGATTGTTTTATTGTATTGAATCTTGTAACTATTGCAGTTGCCAAATGGGATGAGGAATTTTCAGCTTCTGCGAAGATGGGATCAAAGAGTGTAGGCACGAGCAGCATCGGTTATGTAGCAGATGAGTGGTGAGTGTTGGGTTATTTGCTAAGGGTTTAGTTATATACTGAAATTAGGCAATTAGCTTACACAGAATTGGTATTGGAATATGTGGCAGGGATGAAGAATATGACAGAGGGAAAAAAAAGAAGATAAGGATTAAAGAGGAGAGCTATGGAGGGCCGAACCCGTTCCAGATGCTTGCATCGAAGAGACAAACAGAGACAAAGAAGAAATGGACACAACGCATAACTACTGCAAAGACAGCCTACAGGATATGAATAAGGACCATAATCTATAGATATATGTCATCCACATGTTACTGTATTTGGCGTAAAGTAATGTTAACAGAAGAGGAAAAGATAGGCTATAGACATTAGATATTGTTCGTTTATCTCTTTTCCTCTCAGTTTTGTTCCGTTTGTGATAAACACAGAGACCCTATCCCCTGTTTTTTGAGTGAGATTACTATTTACATTATCTTTCTTGTCTCTTGATTTTCAGGCAATTTTATTGCACGATGTCTGAAAAAGTATCTGAGCACAAAGATTTTGAGGAAAAGACAATAACGTCTGTGTCAGCTCTTAAGATATTCATCTCATATAACTGAAGATCTAAATCATTATATATATAACATGCTATAATAGTATAATACCAATACTGCAGTTATAAACTTATAAGTCCCTAAACCCTAGTAAAACCTCACTCTTCTCATTCTTCCTCGCCGGCAAAATAAAAAAAAAACCAAGATTTAGGAGAGAATGTCTGACTTGGATGATGAAATCACGAGGCTTTTCAAGGTGCGTCGCACGGTGCTTCAGATGCTGAGGGATCGAGGTTATACTATAGAAGAATCTGATTTGAACTTGAAAAGAGAAGAGTTTGTTCAGAGATTTTGTAAACCTATGAACAATATGAACAAAGTGAACAAAGAAGCTCTTTTCGTCGCTGCCAATAAGGGGCCAAATCCAGCCGACAAGGTACGTACATATATGAAGAACATGTCATAAAGTTGTATGTAAGCTTTTGATCCATTGCTGAAACTTGTCTCATCTATGACTCGCTGCAGATTTATGTATTCTACCCGGAAGGCCCTAAGGTGGGAGTCCCAGTGATTAAGAAGGAAGTGGCAATAAAGATGCGAGACGATAAAGTTCCTCGAGGGATCGTAGTTGTTCCAATGCCCATAACTGGTCCAGCTAGAATGGCCATATCAGAGCTTAACAAGATTCTAACTATTGAAGTCTTTGAGGAAGCCGAACTGGTGACCAACATCACTGAGCATAAACTCATCAACAAGTACTATGTACTCGACGATCAAGCCAAGAAGGAATTACTCAAAACATACACAGTTCAAGACACACAGTTGCCTCGCATCCTTGTCTCTGATCCTCTTGCCAGATACTATGGACTCAAGCGAGGACAAATTGTCAAGATCAGACGAAGCGACGTTACTTCTCTGGACTATTATACCTACCGATTTGCTGTTTGATTCGTATCCACTGTTTCTTTTGTTTTGCAATTTACAAACATTGTTTTGAATACTAATAATAGACTCAAATTGGAGGCTTTACAAAACATAAAAGAGGCTTCTTAACAAGTTAAAAAGAAGTCCCTCTTTTCAGACATACCTTTCTTGTTCGAATATACAATGGTGGAACCTGAAACAACTGGTGAGATGATCGTTTGTTACCCCTGCTGCCTGCATGAAGGAGTAAACCACAGTTGGTCCTACGCTGCGGAACCCTCTTCTCACTAGATCTTTGCTTATCACTTCTGCTTTTGGAGTTTTTGCAGGTACTTGTCGCTGGTACCTGAACTTGCTTACAATCGCCTTATTCTTCACAAAACTCCATATATACTTGTCAAATGACCCATATTCTTCTATCACCTGCCAAAAGAGATTGAGCATTCATCAATCTGACTGCAATGAACAGTTGCTTTCGTTTCCCATTATGTGCAACAAGTCTATCTGTCCAGACTTGATCTTCTTTTGATTGAATCTTGAAACAATAATACTTTGAAAACTTCTAGAATATCCAGACTTTTGCAAGGTTTTGAATCAATGAGCTCAAAATTGGGTCTCTTGAGCAACCAACCAAGGGTGGAAGAGAGGTCTACCTTAAGTATCTGACGCGCATTCTCTATGACGCCCCTTAGCTTAAGATCAGACAACAAAGTGCTTGCAGGGCTTCCTGGACCGATTAGCTTCTTCTCATTGATTTTCACAATGGCATTGGGGTCAAAATCAGCAAAAACTTCCCTGCATTCCACACGTTTCATAAGAAAATAGATTGTACTGCTTCAATGAAATGAGTGATTCGTCCATGCAAAAAAGAGTGAACCAGAATCATAGCAAGAACCTGAAGGTCTGCCTCTTGCTCAGTATCATAGGCCATGTGTGTTCGGCCAAAGCACCCGAAAGCACAAGGAGTTCAAACAACCTCCTGAACATACACCACCAAAGAATGATAGTGAGGAATTTTAATCAATCAAAAAGAGTGCAGATATACACAAGTGAGAAAAACTTTGAACCGTACTTGTCATCGTGAACTGGCACACCCCATTCTTCATCATGGAAAACAATATAGCATGGATCTGGCGTTTTCATACAAAAAAACAGTCAATATAGAGATCTTTGAAAGAAAGTCGATGATTGTGTACATCCATCTACACCTGAATGTAGACAAGAGTAAGAAACTGACACCTGAATGTAGACAAGAGTAAGAAACTGACCGGAGTTTGATGTCACCCAAGCACACCTCTTCTTAGTCTCTGAACCACTAGGTGGTGAATCCAAAGCACCTTCAGAGACAACACTTCTTGGCTTGGAAGGGTAAGACTTACTTCTACTTCCAACACTATAGGATCTTATCAACCGACCCGTTGATGCTCGGCTGTGGAACGAGTCCATGGAGGCATCAGATGAAAATGATGCATTCAATGACAGATTAGAATTTAGGTTCTGCTCATGCCGTCGTAGTATAGAAGCCGCATTAAGAGTATGCTTCTGAGAAGAAGAAGAAGACAAAGTTTCTGTTGGTGTAGCATATGATGTTTTCTCATCTGATCCAGTGAGCCCAGATGATGATCTTTCAAGCTTTCTCAGTGACTTTGATACAGCTTTGTGTGTGATGAAAGGATTAGCCTTTTTAGCAGCAGCAGTCCCCATAGTTGACCTGGCCTCTGCTTCAGCCACATTCATGGACTGAACTCTAGGAGAACTAGTCATGGGTTTGACTCAAACAGCTTTCACGAGCCTGTGACCTGATTTCTGACCCTTGGCTCTCTTTTTATAACTTTAATCAACAGAGAAACATCTGAAACAGGCCATACTTTTTCCACACGAACATCATCGCCATCGAGAGGAATCACAAACAGTAGCCAGCTTTCAGTTGCTAGATCTCTAAAACTAAAACTAACTCAGTCAACGAACCAAAACTCTCTTGGAAATCACAGAAACACTCATTCCTCTCGAAGTTTTTGAAGCTCTACAAAGTAAACAGAGCATAAGCATCAATAAAAAAGCTTCCTTTCCAGACAAATTTAGGGTTCTTGTTTTCACAAACAGACAGAAGTAACATAAAAAGCAACGTCAATGATTCAGATTATAAATAAGCTTCCTGGAAACCGACAGAAACAAGCCTGCATTTGTGAATAAACTAGAGAGAAAGAACACATTTGACTTGACAATAAAAAAAAAGAAAGGATTTTTGCACACCTAATTTAGTGGTTTCTCAAATGGCTGACAAAATTCCTGAAAATTCCCATGAGTTTCTTCTTCCCAAGAAAATCAAGAGGAAAGAGAAAGCAAACAAAAAATGCAAGTCATATAATAAATAAACTTAGATTCAGGGCTGCCCAAACTATTTGAGTGCCTAAAGCAAAAAAAATTTGGCCCATTAACAAAAGCTGTTATAAAAAAAAAAAATACAAATTTTAACATGTATGAGATTCGAAACCGTGACCTGTACAACAAAAGACTTCAATCTAACCATTAGACCACAGTAACATTTTAAAAATTGATGCCCCTAAAACTACTTATAATTATTTAATGCCTAAAGCCCTGGCTTTATCCATGGGCCGGCCCTGCTTAGATTTATGGATCAATAATGTTGTCCATGGACAAGATACAGCTAATCTAGTAACCAAACAAAACTCAAAAATAAAATAAAAAAACGGCAAGCAGTGCATTGAAGGATTCAGATAAAACGGCAGGTAGTAGAACTCACTTCTTCTTCTTCACCATGAACTCATTTCCACACACTCAATCTCTCAAATGCTCCTTCAATCTCCACCATGAGCTCGTTTTACCTTTCTTCTTCTCCAATTTTCAAACTTCAGTGGCACGCAAACGCTAAACCTAAACCCAGTCGTCCTATTGTTTCTCTTCCACTCTCTCGTCTTCATGCCAACTGCTATTCGTGGAGATTATCTTGTAACCTTACTCAACATGGTCTCCAGTTGGAGGAAACTGTTGAGGAAGATGAAATCCCTCAAGTTCTCGAATTACCTACAGAGGAGGAGCCAAATTTCGACAAGGAAACGACTGCTTCTCCATCTAAAATGTTGAGGAAGAAAAAAGGAGATGAAGAGAGCTTGGACGATAGATTCAAGCTCAGAAATGGAAAGGAGGTTGCTTTAACTTATTATATCTTCTCTTCTTCGTCACCATTTTGTGGATAACGTTTTCGTTCATAAGATGTTTCTCGGAAACGGAGAAAAGTACTTACTTTTCTAAATTCGAAGAAACTGGTATATAGATTTGCCTGAGCATCAAATTAGTCTCTAGAAAGGATTGTTGTGTTCGTATTTCTGTTTTTAAGTATTGAAGAAGGATACTTTATTTGTAATTTTCAGATTTTTGAAGAGAAGGCATATCTAGTGGGCGTGGAAAGAAAGGGTGATGGAGAATGTTTGTTTAATATAGAGGAGTCCCTTGAGGAACTAGAACAGCTTGCGGATACTGCTGGGCTTGCGGTGGTTGGTTCTACTTATCAAAAGTTAGTAGTTTCTAGTTATCTGTGTATTGCTACTTAAGGATGTGATTGGATTCTTGGTCCCCTGTGATCTAGTAGTTGTTTATTTTGTTTCTGCTGCCATGTTATTTTACGGTAGATGCTAAATACAATGATTGTCCTATGGTATACCACAGGCTTGCGTCCCCAAATCCTAGAACATACATTGGATCAGGAAAGGTCGCAGAGATAAAAAGTGCTATTAATGCATTGGACGTTGAGACCGTGATATTTGACGATGAACTTTCACCTGGGTAACGTTTCTGTGTAACTTTTGTTTTAGTGTAAACATGTGCTCTTGAAGTTTCCTGACACCCAAAGTTATAAGTTTAAACCAGTTTTGTTCCGCGAGCTACTATGTTTATTCTTTCAATAAAGTGTAGCTTGTCTTGGTCATTCAGCTGAATAATATCTACTATAGTAGCCATTGGATTGTTGGAGTATGTAGGAGTTTCATACTCTTGTTTGTTTCAAAACTAGTTGTCAACATGTGAATTGAGTATGTGTTTCATTTTCTTATTATATGTTAAATTTCAGGCAATTGCGTAACCTGGAAAAGGCCTTTGGTGGGGATGTTCGAGTTTGTGACCGCACCGCCCTTATCTTGGACATTTTTAACCAAAGGGCTGCAACTCATGAAGCAGCCTTGCAGGCAAGATAAAGCATACAAATAGAGATGATAGTTGTAAATTTTTTTTAATAATGCTCTTGTCAGAAACCATGTAAAACATTGGCTCAATTTTTAATTGTTTCCAGGTTGCTCTAGCACAAATGGAGTACCAGTTACCACGATTAACTAGAATGTGGACTCACCTTGAGCGTCAATCTGGTGGACAAGTGAAAGGCATGGGAGAAAAACAAATTGAAGTTGATAAGCGAATCTTGCGGACTCAAGTAAGTAAAAAGTATATATAGTTCTGCAGTTCTTAGCCTCTTCTGCTAGTGCTCTCGCTTCATTTGTCAAGAAATAGTGTGTTCACTGTTTGTGATGAATGATTTCTTAAGTTCTGCCTTTGTTTAGATGTTTCTGTATCGGTCCATTAAGATAGAAGCATATTCTGAACGTTTTCATATTGAATTGGGCAGATTGGAGTTCTCAAAAAGGAGTTGGAATCTGTAAGAAAGCACCGAAAGCAGTATAGAAGCCGGCGTGTTGCTATACCAGTACCTGTTGTATCTTTGGTAAGTACTACACCACAGTATCTTAGGCTTGTAGGCATTGACTAACACTTCAATATACATCTAAATGTTTTATACCCATTGTGTTTTAGGTTGGTTACACAAACGCTGGAAAGAGTACACTATTAAACCAATTGACTGGTGCTAATGTTCTCGCTGAAAATCGTTTGTTTGCGACTCTTGATCCAACTACGAGAAGGGTTCAGGTCAGTTTTGTTGGAAGAGTAGGTCGCAGTTTCTTCTTTTTCGAGAGACAGTTGTTTCTTTTATTATATGCTACATAAAGCATACATAAGCTCCTGATAGTCACATTATCTAATGGACGACGTGTTCTATGTGATGTGTTTAACGTATTTGTATTGTGCAACATGTACTGCCATCTTGAAACTTTTCTTTCAACCAAACTATATGTCGATATTGAGCTATTGACATGCGATAGTCTAAAAGTTGTACTTATTGTGGTGTCAAGTTTTGACATGAGATTTTCTTTCCGTGTCCCTTTTGATCAGATGCAAAACGGGAAGGAATTTCTTCTCACGGATACTGTTGGTTTTATCCAAAAGTTACCAACCACCCTGGTAAGGTCCTAGTGGACAAAACTTGACTAGAAGCTTAAACGGATATGTTCTTCATTTGCTTTGTTAATACCCATATTGTAGAAGGCTTTGTGTTAACGTGGTGTGTAACTTAGCTGAAAAGTGTCTTGCAGGTTGCTGCTTTCAGAGCAACACTTGAAGAAATAGCAGAGTCAAGCCTTTTGGTGCATGTTGTTGACATCAGGTTTGGTATCTTCAAATCTTGGTTAATTTGGGTCAATCAGTCATATGTCATAATTTCACCTCCTGATGATATTATGCTTGTAAAATGTTTAGCCACCCACTGGCAGAGCAACAAATAGAAGCTGTGGAAAAGGTTATGTCTGAACTCGACGTTTCATCAATTCCAAAGTTGGTCGTGTGGAATAAGGTAATGTATAGTAGTAGAGACGGATATGATTGTAGTTCTATTCGGTCTCTTGCGGTAGTTGCAAAATAACGTGGGAACAACTATAACCATAATACTCTTTATTTACTCCTTCGTTAGGTTGATAGAGTGGATGATCCTCAAAAGGTCAAGCTGGAAGCAGAGAAGAGTGGGGATACAATTTGTATATCTGCTCTGACTGGAGAAGGACTAGATGACTTCTGCAATGCTGTTCATGAGAAGCTCAAGGTTTGCATTTCATCAAAATGTTTTGATTCTTTTTTGGTTCATGATTGTGGCACATTAGAAATTTAGTCTTATAACTCTGTAACAGGATTCAATGGTTTGGGTTGAAGCCCTTTTGCCTTTTGATAAGGGGGACCTTCTAAGCACCATACACAAGGTTGGAATGGTGAAAGAAACTGTGAGTAGATAGATGACCGACCATCTTACTTTGGTTTCCTTTATTTAGATAACTCATTTGATTCTCATGTCTTGTGTTTGTTGCGTATATAGGAATATACAGAGAATGGGACGCTTATCAGGGCTCATGTTCCACTTCGTTTTGCACAGCTGCTTAAACCTATGAGACACTTGGTCAAAGATACTTCCATAAGCCAAAAAGGGTGAAGCAGAATCATAGCAAGAACCTGAAGGTCTGCCTTTTGATCAGAATCGGACGCTACGTGTGTGTGTTCCGCCAAAGCATCCGAAAGCAAAAGGAGTTGAAACAACCTCCTGAACATATACACCTCAAAGAATGACAGTAAGGAATATTCGTAGATAGAAAGGAATGCAGCTAGACACAAGCAAGATAAGCTTGAACCTTACTTGATAATCTTGAACTGGCACTGCAAATGTCATTTCAACAGTGATAACCCTTTTTGTACAGAGAGCCTCTGGTTAGGAAACATGAGGTGCGATGACTATTTCACTTAACCAAAACGATCGCCTGGCTTGGTACATGATTTACTTAGAAATACCAAACCTAACATATCAACACTTTCAGTGACTCAGGAAACAATCTAATCTCAAACTCAAGAGATTCTCAAAGCTTATAGCAAATCATTCGGTCAAAACTGATTGTACTAAAGGCGAGGGCATGCTAATACATACTGTCAAGTTTCTACTAATACGACAGAAAAATCTATCTTTAACTCAAGTCTCGATTTTGGTGGTGGAATCTTGTCTTCGTTTATATGTTAAGGCAGTGAGAACAGAAAAGCAAATAATAGCAAACAAATGTAAAATCAAAACTTGCGACGTATACAAAATAACAAAACTTCTCACCAGATCGACTTTGCTACCACCCCACCAATACTTAGTGGAGTGATCATCAACAGCTTAACTTAATTAGGTTCCAGTGAAGTAGGTAAGAAAACTCAATGATTTGGGATTCTATTTATCCTTTGTTTAATCCACCACTTAAACCATTGTTAGGATGAGTAATGAAGCCTCTTCATTGTCTATTTCAGCTACAGAACAAATGCTATTTGTTTAGTTGGTTTCTCCATACAAAAGATGAAAAATCTGTTCTCTACTTTGCAAATTG